GTGTATTTTGGTGTAGATACAAGTACATGTTTACTTTGTTACTTTCTTTTCTTATAGCTTGGAAATAAATTAATTAAATAGTATGTTAATCAAACTAGTTTCAATTAAACACAAAACCTCAATGTTTATAAATAGATGATTTTTATGGATTTTTAAAAAAACTGAGCAGACTTAGATTTTGCGATGGAAAAAGGACTATCATCTTAGATTTTACATTGAAGAAAAAAACACAGTAAAAAAAGTATTAATGACATTAAATTAATATATATATATATATATCCTTGTCGTTTGTGTATCTTCGTTCCGTGGTGGGGTTTGGATTGAAAGATGCATGTAAATAATTCACATTTCTTTCAACAGAATTGTAAAATCCCAGAAAAATAATCACTTACGTTCACTTAAACAAGCTTTCTACATATCGGAAATTGATCTTTAATATATATTCAAGCAAAGTTTAACGTAACCTTTCTTTCAGTGTTCTTTTTCATGAACCGAAATGTTAATTTTCATTTTTTATCTTCATTTTTAATATATTTCCGCATATTATCTGATTACTAGTATATAGTTCAGCATTCAACAATAGTTTGTGTTCATCAATCAAAATTTAATGTTATGTCATGGAATATCTATTTCAGTGTTTAATTAGAAAAAAAAATGAAATATTGATTTAATAATTAATTTATATCAAATTATATTATGATTGATATCAAAGTCTTGCTTTCAACAAAGTGAAAGCATCTTCAATTTATAAGAAAATACGCCCTGAACAAGAACTTTGTTTTATAGGCGCCAGAACGGATGGTTATAAAGAATTTGATATAACATAGTTATATACCTGATAAGAAATATATGTACAAAGATTCCACGTCCAACAAAAGGTTGGGATGGGAACACGATGCCGTCTGTAGGAGAAACAACGATATGTTATTATATTGAAAGGATCAAGATGGCAAGAAACAACATGTTTGGACACATAAGCTCGGCCTCTACCTCACAGACAGACTTTGATATCAATCATAACTGATATCTGACGAAGACTGCAAACGTACACAAACAAAGACTATATGTCTGGACTGAGTAATAGTCAAAGTCAGGCCCTGGACGAGGAGTACGAAACGACAGTCATAGAAAAACTTAGGGACTAATATAAGAATAACCAATCTCTAATGGAAAAGTTATCTTCTGTGGAAAAGGATTTGCAAGAATTGAAATGAAAATCCGAAGACACAGGTGACTATAATAAATTCTGTCATTAAAATATTTACTACATACAATATATGGCGGAGACTAGTGTTTCATGCTAACATGACAAATACCTTTCTCAATATTAGTGATGTGGAATATGTTTCCTTAAGATTCCTGAAATTTGAACAAAAGTTGGCTTAGCAAGAAAATGTCCATGATACCTACGAGACTTCAGTACTATGGTGCAGATTATAATGGTGGAATAATTGCAAAATGTCTGTCTTGTTATCGGGCAAAGAACGTAAATATTTTATAAATTTAAACTATGAAAGTTCTCGATGTACACGAACTACAAAACGTAAGGCCTGCATATGTATCATGGAGTTGTTACATGCCAGTGTTGAAACATAGACGCCCTTTGAAGCCTTGTTTTCTAGGAAACCATGCTGAAATGGTAGAGGAAGATTTTCTCCGCATATTGGCATATACTTGTTGTAAAACTTAGTCTACCACTAGATATAGAGTCAGACTTTCCACGTTGTAGGTCTTTCACTTCATATAATCTTGTTTTAACAAGTACAACATTCACTCTAGATAAATCTTATACTAGTAGTTACTAAACATTCATCAAAAGTTGTGGATGTTAACTTATCCCTGACCGCCCATTTATCCGTTTCTCTTGTTGTATATTTTTAAAATAACAAGAGTAAAAGAAGAACAAAATTTTCATGTTTGTAAGTTAACTTTTTTTTCCAAAGTGAATTCAAATTTTAAGCATAATAGGCCGATTAACTGCATTTCTGTCCATGTAAAACAATATGCCGATTAACGGCATTTCTGTCTACCGTATATATTCGCCTATAAGTCGGTCCGCCTATAAGTCGGTTGTACTTTTTGAGCTTATTTTGCAGGGATTTGCCATTGACCCGCTTATAAGTCGGTGCAAATTTTTGGCAGAATCAGACGACAATTTCTAATAAATGCTCTGATGTTTTACCCTGATTTTAATTAATATTTTAAGATATGAAGTCGATATTAAACTTTAAATAATAAAAAAATAAATACTGACCTCTCAAGATTAAAAATAAAATAAAATTATTAAATACGTGCATATAAAATACATGTAATTTATGCATAATCTTATAATGCATAAAGGATATAATGTATCCATACTTTGTTCAACGATAGCTATTGAAAATGTTTATAGAATACTACCATTCGCCATCCAGAAAAAATACATGTCTTTGTATGACTCGCCTATATGTCGGACATAGACTTTCGGACTAAAATTTAACTCCCAAAATACCGACTTATAGGCGAGTATATATATGGTATGTAAAACACTTAAATTACCGTAAGATATCTAAAAAGAAAACTTACCTGCAATGCAATTTTATATTATTTGGTTTGCATTAGATAGTAACCCCAAACTCGTTTTTTTCTATTTTATGGCATGAGAATCCTTTCCATTCATAGTTTTTATTTGTACTTTACCATAAACCACAACTTAAAGACAGTACATACATTCGTTTCTTTTTCTGAATACTCTAAATTACATACTTTCTTGTAGTAAATATATGTTGCATTCACAAAAAAAAGCAATGCAACAGTATTTTTTCAATACTTAATTCAGGTTCAGATGAATTTAGGAGCACAATCTTAGTGGACAATTATACAGTTTTACCAAAAAATACAATTTGATTAACAATTTCTTATTTTCTGTTTTTATACTTATTATCTTTAAAAAATACCTTTTCAGAAAGCACTCTGGTAAAAGAGATTCTGGACAATTGGCGAGAAGACGATATTGCCTTCATTCCTACTAGAGCTTGTGAAGTGGTTCAAGAAAAGCTTGAAAGTCTTAACCTTATTACAGTGTTGGTAATTCTGGGTCAGGAAAATCTGCAATAATTCAGCATATTGCACTCATTCTAAAGGAGCAGGAATGGAATGTCATACCGGTGGATAAGGTGGAAGAAATTAAGAAGATCTGTTCAACCGGAGTCTCAGAAAATCCTGTATCACTTGTATCTAATGATCCTTTAGGTAAAGAATCGTTAGATGAGATTTTATATCATTCATGGAAAAGTTTAGAGAAAACACTGGGGATTTGCTTGAAGAAGAATAAACTATTGATATCATGTAGAAGATGTGTCTTTTATGATAAGAGAGTCAAAGGTATCTTATTGGACGAATCCACTGCAGTAGAAATTTGACAGCGAAGAAAATGGACTGACGGATAAAGAGAAAAGATTTTTAATCAGTATTCACAGAATCTTCATTTATCCGAAAAGGTTGTTAATGAAATAGTCAAAACGGAAGCTTACTTCCCATTGCTTTGTAAGCTTTTTTCGAAGGTGGCGAACTACAAAGAGAAGGGGGTTGATTTCTTTCAAAATCCGTACAGATTTATTAAAAAGGAAATTGAAGTTTGGAAGAAAACAGACAAGAAAAGATTTCGCTCACTTATCTTAATAGTAGCTTTCAAAAACAATTTGAAAATCGATACTATTTCAAAAAAGGATATTTCTTTGATGAAATTTGAAGAAATTTTAGGAATGTGTGAATTGCAAGAAAACACACATATATCAGTCATTCGTAGTACTCTACATGAACTGAACGGATCTTATGTCAAACAGGTTGGATATTCTTTCCAATTCCTTCACCACTTTATTATGGAGATAACGACTCTGGTGTTTGGTGTTGATTATCCACAAGAGACAATACAGTACGCAGATAGTGGTTTTCTGAGACGTCGAGTGAGAATAAAAGACGATACAGAAGAGGAAGATCGAGATCCCTTCACTGTTTACCTGCCTGAAGATAACATTGATGATCTTGTGGACAGGTTTATTACTGACATACAAACAGAACATATTGTAGATGTTCTACAACATCCGTGTTTAAGAAAAGAGAGTGTGATTATTTCTTTTAAGGAAAAAGTGGATTCGCTCGAAAAGCTTCTTGTAAAAAGTAAATGTGAAATAGACAGATCAGAAAACCAAAAATCATTTGAGAGATCTTTTTTCACAAGACTTAATTTTTTTTATTTGCAAGATGAAATATGTCCTTTAGTCGGACTTATTCTATTTTGTCATTCTGACATTTCTTCATTTTTTATAAAAAAGTATCCCTGAAACAAAATTAAAAGAACATCTTATATTCTCTGCTTTATGTGCGAATGGCGATTTAAATCTATTAAATTCTCTCAGCAAAGAATATAAAAAAACTGCAATGACAGAAATATGGGATAACCTTTTACCAATTCATGCTGCTTCTGTTTTTCATAATGTTTCGATAGTAGATGAACTAATAAGACTTGGTGCTGACGTAAACAAGTTAACAACTGGTGACATATGTACTCCGTTATTCCTTGCTGCTGCAAATGATGAAGATCATTTCAAAGAGGCCGGAATTAACACAAAAACTGGACAGAGAAGTAATAATACAACTATTTGCTTATTGAACAACAGTGCTAAAATCAATTTATGTGATATTGAGAATGGAGACAGTCCTCGTTGTATGACCTTTTATAGAGGACGTGATAGCACGGTCGAACTGTTACTGAACAACGGCGCCGACATCAATTGATGCAATGAGAATGGAGTCAGTCCTATTTATATGGCTTGTCAAAATGGACATGATAGCACGGTGCAACTGTTACTGAACAACGGTGCCGACATCAATTTATGTGATTATGATGGATTCAGCCCTCTATATATAGCTTGTCAAAATGGAGATGATAGCACGGTACAACTGTTACTGAACAACGGTGTCGACATCAATTTATGTAACAAGAATGGAGCCAGTCCTCTTTATATAGCTTGTCTTAATGGACGGTGTAGAACAGTACAACTGTTACTGAACAATGGTGCCAACATCAATTTATCTGATAAGAATGTAGCCAGCCCTCTTTCAAAAGCATGTCAAAATGGACATGATAGCATGGTACAACTGTTAATGAACAACGGTGCCGACATCCTTTTATGTGATAAGAATGTAGCCAGCCCTCTTTACATAGTTTGTAAAAATGGACATGATTGCACGGTACAACTGTTACTGAACAACGGTGCCGACATCAATTTATGTAACAAGAATGGAGTCAGTCCTCTTTATATAGCTTGTCAAAATGGACATGATAGCACGGTACAACTGTTGCTAAACAATTTTGCCGACATCAATTTATGTGATAAGAATGGAGTCAGTCCTCTTAATATAGCTTGTTATGATAAACATAATAGCACGGCACAACTGTTAGTGAAGAACGGTGTTGACATCAATTTATGTGATTATGATGGTTTCAGTCCTCTTCAGATAGCTTGTCAAAATAGACACGATAGAACGGTACAACTATTACTGAACAACGGTGCCAACATCAATTTAAGTGATAAGAATGGAGTCAGTCCTCTTTATATAGCATGTCAAAATGGACATGATAGAACGGTACAACTGTTGCTAAACAATTTTGCCGACATCAATTTATGTGATAAGAATGGAGTCAGTCCTCTTAACATAGCTTGTTATGATGGACATGATAGCACGGTACAACTGTTAGTGAACAACGGTGCTGACATAAATTTATGTGATAAAGATGGAAACAGTTCTCTTTGGATAGCTTGTGAAAACTCACATTGCAGCACCGTCGAAATTCTATTAAGTGCAGGTTCTGATGTAAATTTATGCAATATAGGCAACTGCAGTCCATTGTATCTAGCATGTCTCAATGGTGAAGACAGAATGGTTAAACTTTTATTGAACAAAGGTGCCGACATCAATTTATGTGACAACGAGGGAACCAGTCCACTCTATATAGCCTGTGAAAACGGACATTACAACACGGTTGAATTATTATTAATGAGAAATGATACTTGCATTAATTTATGCAATAAAGACAATAAGAGCCCACTGTACATACATACTTATATGGTCATGACAGTATCGCTGAACTTTTACTACAATATGGTGCTGAGTTTTTATTCTGAAGATGGATTCAATGATTTCTCAATACCAAGTGCGTTTACATTATTTCTGAGATATGGAGCAAAGCAAATTTAAGCTTTGATGAGACCTTGCAAAAATGATGGAGTGCTTGGAATTCGTGTTTTATGTTTAGTTTACAGATATTTATTGCTTTTAAAAATTTGTGTGGATTCTTTTTTTTTCTTTTAAATTTAGTAATTACTGCAGTACTGTTAATCGCCAAATTTTCTTTGACAATTGATTTTTTTGAGATGGATACTGCGTATGTGAAAGCGAGATGGAGATATTGCACTTAAAAGAATTTTTTTTATTGTTGATATTTAATTGTAATACTTTTATACGCAAGAATTATTTTTTTTTTTTTTGTAAGAAAACACACAAAAAAGTTCTTTTGAATAAAAATTTTACGTATTCACAGACATTTATTAAGCTTACTTATTTTTTATGTCATATAGTTTTCTTTATGTTATTGAACTACGACTATTTAAAGGTGTAACTTATAAAAAAAAATCAGTCTAATGAAACGCCTTGTTTCAAGAGAGCAAAGGCTTGCGGCTACATAAAGCTTTTTGTTCTTGTAAGCATCAAGGGAGCAGTCGTTATTTGATATAAAGCTAAAACATTGCACTGTATTTCTGTAATATTTAAAGAATGACTCTTCATAACATTGCGATCTGGCCCCTTTTTAAACACGGATTTTTGCCTTTTCAAATCAGAACATTGACATATTATAGCTAAAATGTACAAGTATGGAATGAATACAAACACTTTAAAATCTTTTTTGATAGAGAGACTCTCAATATATACATAATATCAATGAAATAAAATTACATAGATCAGTGCCAAATCTCAACTTCGTCATTGTGGCTATGTAGGTCATTGTATTATTTGAATAAGGAGGCGGAGCGTCAATCAAGCGTGCGAATAGTGTGAATATATTATCAAGTGTTCGACGTGTACTCAATATAGTTTTTAAGTGATCTATCTAAAATAAATAAACAATCTTAAAAACCCCTCACCTTTTCTTAAGGCTTGGGACCGACAATATGCTATAATTTTGGCAGGTTTAGGTTTTGTTTCTACTGCTTAACTTTTAAACGAGTATATCAATGAAATAATTATTTTTGAAATTCGTTGAAATAAAATGTAAACACAATGATATGGTTTCTGTAAACATAATGTCTTACAAAAGAGGGTATTTTTGGGACAAGGAAAGTATTTTTAAGATTTACAGTAACCTAGCTTATTTCTCAAGGGATATTTTTTTTAATTATAAAGCGATAATAATTTCATTAAAGTTTTTTTTACACGTACACCAGAATTGGTTATCAATAGCATATAATTTTGCAAGAAATCTGAGTGTTCCAACAAATATATGTATGCGGTTGAATGTGGATAGAAAGCCAGGATGATGTTGATCTTAAATCATGCGTTCATTGGGCAAGTGAGAGTTGCATACACGTGTTTTTTCGTGCAAAATAACATTATGTTTAAGAAATACCTATGCACATGCTTTTTTAGAAACAGTTTTCATTGACTTTTTATCTGCAAAAAGCACAATATATGTGTGACTTTGTGCCGATGTAAAATGTTTAAACGTCAACTTGCCCCCATAAGTCTGAAGCTTCCCCCTATTCATATCGAGGGTGTATTTTGTGCAGATGTGGTCATCCCCAGTGACCTTTCTTCCCATAATACGCGCTAATTCAGTCCTTCGTACTTCGTTTATCTTTCCCTTAAGATTTATTTGTGCGCTTTTTACAGACAACACAGTTTATACTTTTAGCCATGGTGAATACTAATAAGTGTTTTCCTATTATAACAGTATACATGTATAATGACGGTTTTAACAGAAAAAAAGGACTATAACTTTTAATATCTTCCAGCAGTTTAAGTGAGAGTTTTCTTGAAACAGACGCACGTGTATAATATATAAACACTGCAGTAAAAAGCGGAATCAACGTTACCTTAAGAGAATTTTTAATTATGTTTTATAAATATATGTAGTGATTAACTAACAGATGTAGGCACGTTTCAATGCTTTGTTATTCATGAGGTCAAAGACGGGTTGAAATTTGTAAACAAGGTAGCTTTACTAAGTACCCGTGATTTTGAGGTTTTTGAGGAAATAACACATGAGCGCACAATTGTTTCAATTTCTTTCATGGATGTAAATGATTAGTATTACTTTTTACGTTGTCCATAAAAACGGCAAATTGAAACATCGATGCGCTCGTATAAAAAAATGGGCTTACAAAATGGGGGTGTGGCCTAAAGTCTATGAGAAATTGATGTAAACAATGTACCCCTGCTATATTAATCAGAAAAAAACCTAATTACAGTTTATTTTATGAAAGCAAATTTTTAAGTTGAAATTAATAAACTACAATGTCTAATGGAAAGATTGGGGCAAAATTATGTAGAAAATCTGAAAGTTATTTTTTTGTAAATATTTGGGGGGCCAAATGAGGACGTTTAAACGATTCATTCTTTATTCTGTGATACGGATATTGATTATTTATTTGTGTGTAAATAGAGATGTTTCTGAATATGAAACGAATCCGAATCTGAAAATAAATCTGAAACGAATCTGAATCGGAGGGATTTCGATCCCGATTTGAAAATAGATATAACTCTAAATTATACACTGAGAGTATGATTACTGATATTTTGTCTTTGATATATCAATTAATACTTGTAACTATAAAAATGAACCCTTAAGTGAGAGAACGTGTGTTTTCTGTTCTAGTTCCGTTGTTGAAGACGAAAAACATTTCTTATTAGACTGTCAATTGTATAATGATGTTAGGAAAAAATATTTTGATAGCGTGTACAAAGAGCACCCAAATAGTAATGATAATGATTATTTGTTCAAAGTTCTTAATCAAAATTACCAAACAAAGTTAGCCAAATTTGTACATACAGCATATAACCATAGAAAGAATCTTCTGCATGTGTAAATTTATAAAAATGTTATTAATGGAAAAAGTGACTTATAGGTCCAATGGGCCGGGTGCAGATTCAGTTTGACGTATTTTGTTTACACTGTATATTGAAATGTCTAAAATGCACAATGTCACTATAATAAATGATTACTTACTTACTTACTGTAACTTATATAAAACATTAATTAATGTATGTGTACCCCCCCCCCCTCAACAAATATCCTGCAAGAAATAAGTATATGATTTTATTTGTATTACTATATTGATGTTACAAATTAATTGAAAATGGGAGTCTTATCATGTTCGCTAGATTTATTTTTCTTTCTCGTGGGCTAAGGAGTGTATTTGAAATGTCAACGGCAAATCAGGGATTTTGCTAAGGAAGGTGACGAAAGGGGGGTGGGGGGTAGGCAAATCAATAAACTCAAAAAGGCATGTTTAAGGGGTTTTAATTCTCTTCGACCAAATTTGGGTATAGCAAGATATTCTGATGTATGGGCCGTGACATGTTCGAAGCTGGGCATGTAGCACATGTAAATACACCGTGTAAGGAAAAACTGTCAGATTTTTCGAATGCATGACGATGATCAATTGATCTGCTTTCGATAAAAAATGGGCTGCGGGAAAGTGCATGGTCACAAGATAGCGTTGTTGAAAAAAAAATACGTCTAAATATATAAGATGCATTTACTCAATATAAGGTTCAAAACACAATTTTTGCGAGGAACAAATAAAGTAAGCTAATGAAAAATACAAAAAGGTTATTTTCGAACAGGTTTACCCATAAAGTTAAAGGAGTCCTTTTTTGTTATTCAATGTAACATTAAAAATCCAGTGACAAAAATATAAACACCATCCACTATTTATTTTCCTTATTTGTATATGTACAGGGGCCTTTTTAAAAAGCATCGAAGAATTAAGAAATATTCTTTTGATAATGTTTTTATTAGTTTTCGAATCGGGATCGGCATCTCACCGATTCAGATTCATTTTCAGATTCGGATTCGATTCATATTCAGAAACATATCTAATAAGAGCTTTATTTATCTGAACCCTATACAGGCGACACATTAGTACGAACTTTTATGTATACAACATACAGTTATATTATGTTGATTAATCAAAATTCATTTGGAACAATATGTTTTAATTGTATAAAGATTATATGTATTTCAGTAATATGAAGGAATGTTAACGAATTAAGCTTATTTCAACTTATCTTATCCGATAAAACATAACTTAGGGCAGTTTACGCTTTATAAACCGCGAAGAAAGCGTAAACTGCCCAAGTTTTGTTATATCGGATAACATAAGTTGAAATAAGCTTCAATCCTTATAATTTAATTTCAGGGTAGACAATAAGACACTATTTCTTCCGGAAAAAGGTTTAAAATTGAGCGTTATTGTAAAATTAATGTCATGCGGAGTAATACGTTTTTGACGTAACTCATTGTGACGTAGGCAAGTTATGTAATACAAATTGGATAAAACCATTTTACGAATCAAATGACGTGTTACAACTAAAATTAAATTATTTAAATTTATTCTGTGAGACGAGATATGATTATTTATTTTGGTGTAATTAAATGCTTCATTTAAATAAATCTTAACTATATACAGGCTACACATGTGTTCGAACTGTTATGTTTACAACATAAGTTATATTCTGTTGATTTATCGAAATTCGTTTGGACCAATATTTTTTTTTATTGTATAAAGATTATATGTCGGGGGAGGTGGGGGAGGGGTTATATATCATATTCCTTAATATGTACAGATCTTTACGGTATGTGTCTTTTAAAGCCCTGTCTATCAATTCGTTGATGTAGGTCTGCAAAATTCTACGAAATAAAAAATCACGTCACAGAGACATTTCTTTTTTCTTTAAATAAATGTTTTACATTTGTTGACATATCATTGATTTTTTTTTCTTTTCTTTTTTGAAATTGAAAATGTGTGTACATTTATTTATTTTGTATTCATTTTGTTTGTTTGCTTTCTTTTATAGTACTTTGTTTTATATCGTGCATTAATTATTATTTGTTATTTGGGATAATGCATTCCCTTTTGTTAAGAAAAGAAGAAGGAATGAATGTTGAAAATATAAATGTTGTGCAAAATTGTTTTGTATTCAAATTACCTTAAATTACGCATCAACATTATAGCACGAGTAACAATTGAATTCAAACTTTTGAAATTATGCAATAAATGTGGCAAAACTTATTGTGAAACATGCAAATTTTGTTTTCTTAAATACTGTATATAGTGCATGTAACGATATTTTCAAGGTCGTATTTTATGCAGTTTTATATTTTGTGTTCATGTGTCAT